GATAGAATATGGCTTTGGGAATACTGTAGTAAGATCCCCATATACCCCATATTCTATCTACTTAAGGGGGACTATAAGGCCTTTAGGGTTTAGGGCTTAGGATTTAGACTTGAAGGTTGAAGGTTGAAGGTTGAAGGTAAGTCTAGGGCTTAGGATTTAGGATTTTGGGCTTGGCTTAGGGTTGAAGGTTTGAAGGTTTAGGCTTAGGGTTTCAGGACGTAGGAGCTAGGATCTAGGGTTTGGAGTTTAGGGTTCAGGTGCTGACTTCGTAAACCTTGGGTGCTGCCACCACCCTTCAACAGTCTAACATTTATGGTTTAGGATTTAGGGTGGGTTAGGGTTTATTAACTGTCTCATTAGGGGTCAAATTCAAGGCTCGATCTATTCATATTATGAGTAGTATCCAACTGTCAATGATCGGTATCCAAAGTCCCCCTACCATCCCCCTAACCCCTATCATAAGCCAGATAACCCTGCTACTAAGTAAACTTGCGAAGTCAAGAGATCCTCTGAGAATGGCTTAGGGCTGAAGGTTCCCTCACTCCAGCATGAAACCTTTGAAAGTGCCTTTGTTGACGAACTACAGTCTAAACTCCTAGTATCCCCCTTAGTAACCCCTATAATACTTCCCCATACAATCCCTTGTATACCCTGCCTTTACAGAGTTTAAGATTACAGCTCATATTAGTTCGAGGGAAGGCACGGTTCATGGCTAGGGTTCAGGGTTTAGGTTTAGGGTAGGGTTTAGGGTTTAGGGACCTACCTGGACCCTGTGTGTGCGCATTATTATCGCCCAACACCGAAACATCACTGATTTCAGCCCAACATAGGTAGAACAGCCTTTTCCTAAAGAAAGCGCCCAACAAGAAATCCAAAAAAACATTATGAACCAACAGATTGGAAAAACGCCCAACACAACTGAATTCAGCCCAACCCTGGAAGACAAGAACACCCCCAAAACCCTTGAAGAACATGCCCAGGAGCCTCCGTTCAGATTGAAATGCTTGGCCGCAGCACTGGGAGTAGGAGGGCCCCATAGCTGTTCATAGAAGATTCATATGGAAGTCAATTTGGGGTCTTGATGGGCCATCTAACTATCTATAGGGTATAACGTGGTTTGGGGGCTCTTGCCAGACATCATTTTGGCTCAACCCCTCGATGTTGCTCATCATGCAAGTCTGTACAACCCCCTGGCATGAGCAGCTGAGAAAGTCCTCCTGACAATGCGAACAATCCAAACATATATGCCTGTCATGCTGTATGGGCTGCTGCTACGTGACTTCTCAACGCAGCACTCTCAGCGAGCTTTGCTCTTTAAGTGCCGTTTGATGAGGACTTTCTTTTTCACAAGATGCCTTTGCAAGCATCGCTGAGCAGTCATTCGTGAATGCGTGGCCCTGGCTGTTCTGGCAATACGCCCAATGAAATCTTCATCACATGAACACTCCGTAAGGAGCGGGTTCGGGTAGCACGGCATGCCAGATTGAAGCCCAATATCAATTTCCACCGGGAAATGATGAAGAGAATGGATTGTAGATTTCATGGAGAAGGCGGGGAAGGATTCATTCAGGCACCCTTTGGCCAGGTAATTGTATCCTCGGGTGACCTTAGCTAATATCGGGAGGGGATGTAGAAAAATCCAAATGAAAACAGAAGAGTAAGTTGAATTAAAAATTTACCAGGATAGCTGAAATGAAACATAGGTACTCGCAGCATCTCATCACGAAGGGTAACCATGCAAGGCCGTGGTAGGAATAGACCATGCGAGTAGCACACCCGAAACATCTCGATGCTGGCAGCGCATGCTTGACTGCTTACCTGCAGAAGGTCTTTGCGCGGATGATCCCGGTGCGAAGCCAAGGCCAGGTTACACTCCAGCTTGAGCCATAACATGAGAAGCATCGTGTCACTGCCCTTGGTATTCGTGAACGCATAGGAATCCACACGTGGCATATGCATGGAATCTTTCGTAAAGCAGCGCAAATGGGGGCACCGGCCATCTGCCAGACAGAACAAAGAGAAACGAGCATGCATCCGCTTCAGCCTGTTGTCCAGCGAGATCGAGTCCCCAGGTGCATCGAACCACCGGAAAAACCTGGACAGCAGGGTCATGATACCCCCCGCAACGTCACGCCCCAACCCAATTTTGAAAACATGCAGTAGATCGCGCTTGTATTTGCGAGCAGGTTCATGGATGTCGAAGGGGATCGATTCCAATGGTCCCAGGAAAGCCGGATCCCAAGGAACTGATTCGTAAAGGGTCTCAACCCACTTTGCATCATCACCTGTTTGTTCAAACGGGAATAGTGGGTCTCCGCCCAAACATTCTGCGCAAATGGGTTTGCAGTTCACCTCCCCCAAGCGTGTGTATGATCGTAGGAGTTTGGCAACAGTTGCATGCCATTTGCTGTCGCCCTTACAGCCCACAAGGGCACCATAGTACTTCGTGGACCCAACCATAACGCCAGTGGAAAAAAGGCTGCGCAGGTCCTCTGCGCATGCGCCTAGCATCCCATCCAAAACTTCGGTGCCTTTCTTGAGCAAATGGGTTGGAAGAACGAAGACAAGGTGCCGAGAGAAGGCCGAATGCCCCGTAGTGGAAGGAAACTGAGTCAGAAGCTCATCGAAATCCTCCTGAACCAAAGACATGCCAGCATCAAGCTTTCGGTCTGCCCAGGCTTCGGGAACTTTGCAGCACGAGGAAACAGCCGACTTCTTGGAGGCGCATAGGGAGCACTTGTTAAAATCTGACTCTTTTGCAACGCGTGAAGCTTTCTTCCCCGGGGGTCCCCACGGTGTCTGCCAGTTTACTATGGCCACAGGTTGCTTCTTGGACCCTGTACCCTCATCCCCATGCAGTAGAATCGGTACTACATTGCCCAAATCACTCAAGCCAAACTTAGCATAGACTTCGTGCCCTGGGTGGTGAGCATAATAGGCTTTCCAGAAGCTTTGACAGCGTTGCTGCGGTCGTTGCTCTCTGCCCCAAACCGCTTCAGCACAATACCCCAAAAGCTTGGCCAGGTAGTCCGAGGGCTTGAGGTAAGCAATGCGCAATGGTTCACCACTCACCAGTAGCTCGGCTTTGGATATCTTCACATTCAGCGAAAGGCCAAATAGCTTTAAAATCTTGTGCGTTCCTTTCTCCGCGTCTTTTGCCGACAGTGACCCAGCTAGTGCAACAGCGGGGCACTGACAGGCATCCGCTCGAGCTGCTGCACTCACGCGCGCCAGATCTGCGCAGGCTGCCTCGGATAATGCAGGGATTGAGTTTTTGGAGGATTTGGCAGGGTTTTGGGGATCCTGTTCTGGGCTCAGGGCTCAGAATTCCGTATTATGGAGTTTAAACATTGAGACCCTTGACAAATTGCATATGCAAACAACTTTTCCGAGCAGGCTATATAACTTCAACACTTTAGGTAGGCCATGCTACTTATAAGCCTGCAGAACTACAGTATAAAGTAATCCTATCAACAACCCCCACAACCCCAACCTACAAAGACCGCTTCATATCAACGGGGTTACACCATCACCCACCATCTCAGCAAGCTGTGTGATGAGCTCACCGGGCTCCTGGTTTGTTCCAGATCCGACGTCATCCTGACCTGGCATGGCCAAGTGTCACGCCAGGATTTTCAGAGTAACATTAAAGTGCGATGCTGGGCGAAACAGCATGGGTTGACAGCTGCAAGGGCTGCATGCAGCAGCATTTTTCACACAGACCCCGACGCATCCTTTGGATGCAGAACCTGCAAAGCTGGCAGAGGAGCGCCTATAAGAACCCGCAAGCAATTTATGCATTTTTCAGCAAATCCTGACACTTCTCACCTCTGCCGCCTTGGCAGACCAGTAAATGTTGCCACATCATATATCATAGGCAACCTGCTAACACGTCAAAATCATGGCTTTGTACACCACTACTTTTTGGCATGCTTCTTTGCATCCGGCTTCTTGGGAAGGACTTTCACACCTGGCTGCGCCCTTCCTTTGGGAGTCGCAACCGTAGCTGTCGAGCGTGGTAACACAGTCCTGCAGAGTCAGCGTATAATTTGATACCATTTCTCTATAGCCATGCTCGGGGTTCCAAATCAACAAGTCCTCGCACGAGTCTCCAGCGACAGGCCATCCACAGCCCTGCCAGGGTTTCAGCACGGCAAGCAGCATTGCAAAACATGTTGGCTAATATTGCAGTGGTCTTTGCTTTGCGACAGGATCTAGAGCACGAATTGATCACAGTAGTTTTTGGGCAGACAAGTTTGAGTTGCCGTACAAGATCCCAGGATGGTTGCCATGGGTTATGGGCTTATAGGGATACATATAGGGTTTCTAAAGGATTTAGACTGGTATTATTGGGTTTACAAGGGCATATTTTGGAGAATTGCGTGAATACTCCGACAGGGCTTCCGGGCTTTGAAGCGATGCACACATCAGGCCAATTCAATCACACTGGCAGCAAACCTATTAAGCTCTTCAGCGACTTTAGGCTGCCAAGTAGCAGCTTCTTCGCATTCTGGATCCACTTACGAAGTTCATCATCCACCCTGTCAAGGGTAATTATGTGCCAACATGTAGTCTGGCGAGATAGCAGTTAACAGCCCCAAGCAGCCAAGGCACGCCGCCGTAAATCCATCAGCCACACCAGCAGAATGAGCATCAGATAGCTTTTCCTGGCACTCCTCCAAGCTGTTGCTCACGGATTGAAGTTTTTCAACAATCCTTGGCTTACATAGTTATGCTGCAGGCACCGAGTGAACATGAATCTTGCGTGACTGCGCGTGAGCTATGCTGCTGGCAGGATACTTTTCCTGGTTCGGCGTCAGCTTCTCCATGTTGTTGAAGGCAAGGCGCAAGTCGTTCAGCTTCTGTACCCTTTTGCTGATGCAAAGCTGGATCTTGTTAACGTAAGTGCTTGGAGAGGCTTCAGGGTCCATCTCAGGGATGCCGGCTTTCTTACGCAGCTGAATCACCTCCTGAGCCTCCAAGCCTGGGGCATTGCTGTCCAAGTCAACGGGTTGTCCTTGCAGAGCAAAGCAGCATGCTACCCCCCCACCCGAAGAAAAAAAAACATATCGCGATGCCAAGAAAAACAACTCCTGCATCAGGCTCACCAACCGGACACCAGTCCGGATTCTCGGAGTCCGCAACACCCTCAGCGTGAAACTTGGTTTTCGTTCGGCGAATGTTCCTCTCGCCTTGCCTTAGATGTGTTATGGAGTCAACCATCCACAGCAGATACGGTTATCAAGAATATTCCAGTCCAACATGTTAGGATGCTGCGAGGGTACTTGTGGGTGGCCTTCACCGCCTTTTCGCACCAAAACAACAGCACGTCCGGCTCATAGACATCTCTCCTGCCAGGGCTTATCAGCAGCATACTAGTTTTATGCTTTGGGGCGCACATGGTAAAGAAACGAAATGCCTGATGTACTTTGTTGGATTCGTCTTCGCGTATTTCTTGACGGCCTCGATTCTGGTCCTCAGATTCGGCTACAGCAGCAGATCACATCCAAGAAACACTGTCATGAATCCTGGCATAGATGGTAGTTTCAACAGCAAGCCCTACCCCCCGTTTTCGGAGCCCTAAAGGGGGGGTTGGCTTATGGTAGTTTTATAGCTTAAGCCCAACCCCCCATTTTCGGAGCCCTAAAGGGGGGGTTGGATTTCGATTGAAAAAGGATGGTTTGGGCTGGGAAGTTCACAACCATTCAAGAAAACCCTGATGTAGCATTGCAGCACCCACTGCAAGGTCAAGGGCTTCTATAATTCAAGCAGGGCACGCGGACCAACCCCATGATTCCATTGTCGCCGGCGTGGCGTATTCGCCTTCAATCATCAACTCGTTCTCGAAGTAGGACTCATGAGTTTCTTCCAATTCTTGGATGAAGGCCTCCTGTCATTTCACAGAGGATTAGGATCATATCATTTCGGAAAATGGTAACCCACCAATACCTTATAAAACCTAATCAGCCCCACACCCTGTATTATACGTATGTATATATATATATATAGAGCCCCAAACCCAGATAAATAACCAAACAAACCCAATGTGCTACATGGTTTGGGGGTCCAGGTAGGAGGGTTTAAATAGGACACACAGGAGATTACCCCCCCACGCCTACCCCAGACTCCCACCCCACGCCTACAAACTGCGACACCCAGGTTTACGGCCCTGTAAGTAAAATCACACCTCCAATTCCTCGAAATCACATGTCAGTGTCATGTCAGTCCGGCGAGTATCCAACCGACGCCAGGACTTTCTCCAAGCTTTTGCGGGCGTTGCCTTTTTTCTGCCACTCTGTGACAAACCGCTCGGGAACTTTATAGCTTCCATCAGCTCTTGGCGTAAACACACGGCGCATGCGCCGATCAATGGCGCCAGGGCTCGCCGGGCGTCGCAGGAGGGCTGGGGCCGGGATCCGCTGGGCTCTTTTGGGAGGAGGGCGCCTTCTCACATTCTGTCTTTACCTGATCCGTCTTTGGGCTGGGCTCAGGGAGGTCCTTAGCATTAGCTGGTGAAGGGGGTGGATTCTCCAAGGGATGCTCTGGTTCAGCTTCCTTCTTGCACGCCCCCTCAAGTTCATCTCCCAGCACCGACATGTTGCTTGACGATTTGAACGCAAAGTCTGGTTGCCTATCATGAGGCCACACTTCTGCGCTGCAAGGTGGCTTGGCTTCAGCCAGCTCCTGAGAATCATGATTCTTCAGAGTGGCTGGAAAGCTGGGCACAGACGTTCCTGGACCACCAGTGTTGGGTACCTAAGATAAGTTAAGCAAGGCTGTGAAGCTACTGGATTTCATGTATAGACTTGTGCACTCGTGGCAAGCCTACAGAAGCGCAGCAGAGGCACAATCGCAAGTTGCAGTACCTTCCCCTCAGCCTTGCAGTCCCTGCCCACACCTTTACCTTTCGCTAGACGAAGAGCACGGACCTTCTGTAGCCTTGCCTCTATGGCCTGCAGCACAATCAACATCAGATCCAACTTGGTTTGTTGTGGAGACGCTTTCGAATTTCTAGGCCTGGAGTTCCGATGCAGGGTCCTTGCCGGCCATATCGCTCAAGGCCAGCAGCCGCTCAGGAGGGTTCTGATGCACGCACTCAAGCCCTTCCAGCAAAGTTCCTGTAGACCACTGCCTACTGGCTACGGGCACGTCCATGCTACCTGGCGAAGTTTGAGTTCCCCTTGGCGCATGAAAAATGTGTGCAATATGGACATATATGAACGGATGTGGCTTACATAATTCAGGTTTTTTGGCTTCAGGATCAAGATAGAATTCAGGCTTCCGGGTTTTTCCGCCCAAACTCCGGGTATTTCCGCCCAAGCTCCGGGTTTTTCCGCCCAACAATTCAGGCCTCCATTTTGCTAAAGCAAGTTGTTAATTGGGGTTTTGTTTATAAAATTCAGGCATTGGGGCTCCAATTCAGGTTTGTTCAGGCTTCAGGGCTCCACTTCAGGGCTTTCAAGCTCTTCTGTGACACAAAGGACCTTTGCAGTCTACGGAAAGCCTCAAGATAATCGTCTTTTGCACACAGAGCATCAACGCCCATCCTCCAGCAGCATATCCACTGTAAAGCGGGCAAGCTTAATTATTGCATGGCGCGCTGCATTACAGGATTGGCGTTGCGCAACCCCTCCATTCCTCTGGTATGGAGAGACTTTTGCCCCCGCGGAGGTACCTCAGAGGGCCTTGAAGATCTGCTGCCCCGCAATCGTCATATTCGAGGCTAGCACAGAGGTCTTGGAGGGGAATCTTCGGATCCTTAGATTTCAGGGGGTGTGAGGACTTTGGGCAATGCTTTATTTGTGGACGCCGGATAGGATCTGTAACTCAATGAGATCTAGCGGCAACCTGAATGCGCATCTCCTCTGCTTGTAGCTCTGGCAGCATGGAAACAATCTTGCTGGCAAACGTAGCCGGGTACGCGCCACTTTTTTTGAGGTTGGAGGGCTTTCCAGTATAACGCTTCCTTCCTTGCTTGTCAAAGTAAACAACAGCCGTCTTGTACTGGGACTTCTTTTGGGCCTTCTTTAGCTTTCCTCTGTCCAACCTTGACACCATTCTGCGGTTTGATACCAGAATCGTTCTCTCCGGCACTCCATGACCCCAATGCTGCATCCAAAAAACGCATTTGTACACCTAAGCTGCAATCTTCAGAACATGTTATTGGCCGCATAGGACAAGAAAACTCAACATCATGGCAGCTGTCAAACCAAGAAGCTCGGAGGCCTACCCTCTTCAAGCATCGGACAAATCGCCAGAAGAATTTGGTCTCGAACGTTATCGATGTAGCCGGATTTTCAAGAAAAGCGACTCCCCCAGCAGCAACAGTCAATGTCATCAAGAAAAGTGTCCTCCGCTTTCGACATCAAACACAGCTTATGTAGTCTTGCGCTGGACAATATGGCCCAAAAACACGCACTCAAATGGCTTGCAGACGGTCCTTGCTAACAGCTTGTTGCTCAGCTTTACACTGATCAAATCTTCTCGGCCCTCCGGCGTTAGCAAGTTCCTCCCTGTCGAGCCTGAACTAATCTGGACGAACGAGCTGCAACAGGTCCCAAAGAAGCTCAGAAGCTGCGTCCATTTGCCTTGCAATATGAGTACCACGCCGAGCCTGGGATGCAAAACTATATAGGGCTTTGATGGAAGTTATGGGTTGTGGGGTTTGGAGGATTGGGGTATCTAAATGGTTCCCCTTCAGTCTTCAGTGGCCTTGATCACAATATGTGAAGCGCTGGGGATAGAGCTCTCTACCTGGGCAGGCCTATAGATACACATGAACTTTCAGAATTATTGAAAGAAGGCCTATGCAATTCCCAGCAGTACTGAAGAGTTTCCATACAGGCAGAGATGCGCAAATCCTGAATCGGAATTCAGGTCAAAGGGCGATGTCTTGTTGAGCCTGTTCCTTCTTGAAGCTGCTCTTGCTGCGTCAAAGTTTAAGTCAACACCTGCGGCTTTGTAGCCACTCTTTGTAGCAATTCTGGCGATTTTGGTGCGGCCAGAAAAAAACTCCACCAAATCCCAGGGTTCTTGAACCTGTAGCTCCACATAGCCCGTCCATGTGATCAGGAGGACGATAAGAAACAACTCCTATGGACACAGCACATGCGGCGCAAGTCGTAACACATATTACGCACCATCCAAAGACAGGATCTTCAATCAACATGAACATGCACACTCAAGTCCTTGGGCACCCCCATCGCAGCAAGCCTCCTCAAAATAGTTTCGACTTGTCGTGGAGTAGTCATGGCATCAAATGAGCTGGCTCCCTCCAGGCAACTGTACAAAGCAGAGTCAGAGCCCTTTGGATTTTATACGCACTGGATCCAAACCTCCTGGTAGGCTTCTGTATTGATTGAAGATGAAAGAGCGTGAAGGACCTTCTATAATTCCTTCCCCAAGACCCTGCGCAAAGAAGCAAACACCTGGTTGCGTCGGTTTCCGAAAGGGGGTATTGTATGGTTCGAAAGAAAGCTTGTAGGTTTATGGGCTCGGGCCACGCTATTGGGGTATATCAGGGAAGCCTGACAACCCCCTCTATAAACACGTAGCATACTTTAAGTAAACTATATAGTTCAAAGCCTGGAGCCAGAGCAATGGTGCAAATACAAAGATGCCCGAGTTCGGACTCGCAAAACTACCCCTCCCTCAGCACGATTTGTAATCATGCCTGAGTGACTGTCGCCACGTCTAGCAAGAAAGGCCTGGCCCCTCCGGATTTTTGGCATGCCGAAGAGAAGGTGCACCTGAGAGCGTCGTTGAAGTTTAGTTGGGTTTTTGAGTTTATCCCCGGCAAGATTTGAACATGTGGGTGATGCTGCTTCATTACACACAATTGAAAGCCAGGTCAGGATTGCCTGTCTTTTGTGGCTTTTGCTGGTCCGTAAATCCCAAGACATAAACCTCCAGCCAGGATGTTTGCCCAGCCAAGAGGAGAAGTGCAATTAGTCCCCAAGTGCATACCAGCAAGTGTTATCACACTCGCTCCCCATGAGAGTCAAAGGCCGCGCTGCGCAGCCCACAGACCCATGATGATAGAATTTTGGATCTTGAGCAAGATCCGGCAACTGTCAGAGCAAAAACCTACACAGCTGGAAGATTCTTCGCAAACCTTTTGGCGAGTTTCACTGCCACATCATAGTAGCCGATCTCGCCTTTGGCGAGCGCTTTGCTATGGGTTTTGAATCCAACCTGGCACTCCTTCCAGAATGGCTCCTGCGGGCTGGTGTTATAATCAACAACACCTTGTTCATACGAAGCCCCGCAAACCCAAAGACAAGCAGAGATTTACCTTATAAGACCCAGGCTCCTGGTACTTCGAAGGGTAACCAACGAAGAGACTGATCTTGTCCTCAAAGGCGGACTTGATGGATTTCCACTTGGAGTAGGGAACATCACGCTTTGGCGGGGGGCGGCGCGCGAAGCTAACCTCCTTCTCGGCAACGCTGGCATCTTCCCTTCCATCACCCTTGCACTCAGGCTCATCGGCCAAAGTGCCAGCTGCTTCATCTGCAACCTTGCGGCGCTTGTTTTGCTGGCTGTCGCACTCTGCAGTCGTCTTCGCGGGGATAGAAGGGCTTTCGCAACATCCCTTGCCGTCCTCCAACTTCGCCTGAGCACGCTCCCACATCCAAAGATCCCATTCCCTGATCTCGTCCTCAGTCCATGTCCAAACATCAGCTGAGTTCTCTTCGTCATTCGTTGCCTCGGTGGGCTGCTGGCCACGGCCACGGCCACGGCCACGGCCACGCCCACGTCCACCACGACCACCCCGACCCCGCGAAGCTCGGCGGGCGCCATTGGCACCATCAGGATCTTCACCATCTTCCACATAAGGCTGCGCTCTCTTCAACACCGTCTGCGCCGTCCGCCTCGTAGAATCCTGGCAAGAAATAACTACCCTTGAGCTATGCCTAGGTTATTCCTAGCAAGCCCATGCCTATATATACAGGCTTAACAGCGCGCGTGCGACACATATACCCGCCTGGTACGTGGCAGGGTCAAAGTCCGTGCACTTGTCAGCCACACTTGCGGCCTCGTCCACTGGCTTCAACTCATTGGCCATGGCCGCATTGGCCATGGCCTCAGGCTTCGCCTCACTGGCCACGACCTCTGGCTTCGACGCATGGGCCATGGCCTCAGGCTCCAACCCCTTGGCTATGATCTCTGGATTCAACTCAATGGTCATTGCCTCGGGCCCCTTCTCCTTGGCGAAGGTGTCCTGCTTGAGAGTCCTGCCTTTGCCAGTTGGCTGCTCCAGCTTCTCTGGGGTGGCTTTGGCGTCCAGCTCTGGCAGAAGCGATCTGGCAAGAGGAGTGTGAAGGTCGAGGCTGGCAGGACTTGACGCAGTGGAAGGCGGCGCCGCTAGGGGTTCGCTTGGGGAAGCCATGATCTGCGTGTCCGCATTGTCTGGGCCCACCTTCGCAAACTGCCCCAAGGATTGCTGAGCCATCTCGATGGCTTGATTCATCCTCAAAGGGAGGGCAGGAGAGGGAAGAAACAAAGATATATACTATACCTACACCCCTCCCCCAAAAGTCCTCATCGCAGCGAGCTGATCCAAGAGGAGCTGCTCCTCCAAATCAAGCTCCAGGCCATCAAGATTTTCAAGGTCGTCATCTGCATCAGCTGCAGTCTCATCAAGCTTGTGCCCTTCAACAGTCGCAAGCTTTGCACTGCCATCATCCTCAATCTTGGGCCCTTCAACGGACTCTTTGGCACTGCTGGAAGGCTCAGCAGACAAAGCGGCATCATCTGTCATGTACTCATCCGTGGTGGCATGGCGGAAGCTCACCTCCAACCCCTCAGCATCTTCGCAATCTGAAAGGTTGCCGGCATCTACATAGTCCTCATCTTCTTCCTGCAGCGCTTGTCGCTTCCTGCTGGGTTTCCAGCAGCCCCCCCAATGCCGCTCCAGGACCTCGAAGAGCTGGTCAACCACAGGGTCCCGCTTGCGCCGAGGTGCTCCGCGTCGGCGGACGGCTAGCGAGAAGAGGCGCTTCAGACCCCAAATGTCCGCGTACACAACAATGTCATCTTCCTCGAAACCCATGAGGCGGCGAAATTCCATCACCTGCAAGGAAGTTGCAGGACTATCTTATGAAAGATAAATTCAACAAATTACACCTGTTTTCATGATGGGCCAACCTCGTTCCGGAACAAGCTAATGGGAAGACTCTTTGCCGATGGCAACAACGGGCACCACAAAGAAGCAGTGTGGAGTAGAAGTTCTGCATTTAGATGCACTGCTTTCATCGAAGGCAGACCCTTGCTCTTCGCATTCATCCACCGTGTAAGGCACTGGGAAACCCTACCGCGGCAGCGGATGACAGTGTCAGATTCCCAAAGCTTTGCTAGGCACCCCATTTCCCATTCAACTTGCTGGGGCGCGATGGCCTCAGCTTCTAAATCCTCATCAGGGGGGGGGGCGGGAGGCTTGCCATCCTTCTTGTTACCATTCCCTCGGCCCATGGCTCAGCTAGAAAACCAATCCAGCCCTAACTTGAGTAATCAAACAAGGCTACACACCAAGCCTAGCCAGCTTGCGCATGCTCAAAAACAGGAACCTATAGGGACCCATGACAGTTCTACAGATACTCAAGATGATTCCAGTCATGGCTGCGCAGGAAACGAGCTGAGCGGAGCGCGCTGCCTGGCCGTCGACAAAGTCACCCTCACCATAGCTGCCCGAAGTACCTCCACAAAACATTGTTTACGGCTGCACAGGTCCTTATAACTACATGCCCTTGCAGTTGTCAGTGCGCATGCCTGCAAATTTTACCCGCCACATCTCACAATCTAACGAATGCAGCTGGTTGACAAGCGCCGTGTAAGCTTGGATTGCTGAGGCCCCAAAACCCCTACACAAGGAGAGTATTTATATCATTCTTAAATTTCAGAAAGGGGGCCAGGCTTACATCTTGAACTTTCCTAGCGCTGATCAGAGGTCGTCGTCACTTCGGAAGCTCCTGATGGCCTGAGATGATTTCCGCTGCTAGCTGCGCTTGTTTCGAGATGTCTCATGAGAACGCCCAAACTTTCACAATGCTACCAAAGATCACTTTTGCAAATCTTCATCCGAACATGTAGAGATCTTCTTGCATATGCCATTCGACTTGTAATTGGCAATCACATCCAGCACTCGATCATCTATCGTCTTCGTGCAAGCTACCTTAGGGGGAAAGCTCTTAAGAAACTATGTGGATCGACTAACGCTACAACAGGACTGCAGTTTCTTTCAATCAGGCCATACCCCTATGCCCTATACTAAGATACTTTATATGAGTGTGTTAGGATATCAACTCATAATAAAGAAGCTGCAGTCCTAACCAATTATATAGAGGCCCCAACATCATCCATCCCCAGAGCATGAAGCGCCCTGTCCCAGAAGACATCTGGATGCTTGTCTAGTCCTGAAAGCCAGCAGTGTAAGGTGCGCCCATCTGAGCAAAAAGGCTAGGTTTCCTGGCCTGCATTGACAACCTCTTGAGCAGTTTCTGCCGAGACCTTCTTGAGAAGAGCAGCCATGGGTACATTAAACACGAGGGGATCTTTGGGAATCCTTGGGCCGAGGGCTGAAACATGTCAGCTGAAGCTTCTCGATTGCCATGGTAAGCATCTTGCCAACCAGCAGTGCACTTAAGTTGAAGGGCACAGGGCGCACTTGTTGATCCGGTTCACAAGCCGGCCATGGCTTGGACCATACGAGCTATACACCATACATGGCGATACTAGAATAAGCACCACTTTTGTATGGATCATCATATCCTAGCTAAGTCCTGGGACTTTGCAATGATGGGCCCCCCCAATCCCTTTGAAAGATCCACGCGAGCAACCTGGCAGCAGCTAATAGGCAAAATCGCCCAGCCATGAGGAAATCAGCCTCAGCAAGATGAAATTGGACCAGCCCCAACCCCTGAATAAGGATTCCGCCTTGAAGGCCGTTTCGTGGCCCAACTTCTAAAAAGGGCAATTCTTTTTAGAAGGCAATAATTTTACATGGTTTCGCGGCTATAGGTACAGGTCATCACTCTGTGGGGCTCGGTGCTTTTAAAGCCTGATTACATTCTGTGGGGATCCAAGTCTACAAATTTACCCCTAAACCCTAAACCCTAAACCGCGTATGGGTTTAGGGGTTAAGGTCCCGGGGATCCCAGTATACAAATGATACCTACAATGGGCCCTAAAGTTTCGAAATATTACTTACGGTGGGCTAGTGGGATCCCTAAGGATTGCGTTATTCCTTCGTGCATCGTATCCTAAGCCCCTAAACGCGCCCAATCCCCTGATGTTAGGTATGCAACTCGCCATAAATTTCCAAGGCCACCACGTTTGCATTAAACGGAACAGCACTTTGAGGGACCCTGCGCATCCCTGCGTCTAGGGAACATGCTATATCTCTACAAATGGCCCATATTTAGGGTTTAGCGTTTATGGGCCACATTTTACTATAACTGTAACCCAAACCCTAAAACCTATGCCCTTTATTAGCGGCTTCCCTACCCAAATGGGTCTCAACAAGCCGGCTGGCACAGGAGCGGGCAGCGTGTCAGCGAGAACCGAAGCTGCAGCCCCAGCAGCAGCTTCAACCAGCGAGGGCGTTGCAGCTGCTCGCGTTTCGGCTGGCGCAGCGGGTGGAGCGTTCGCTAGCGAAACTTCCTCCCAACTGCCCAGGCTTGAGGCTGGATGGAGACTTGTCTCCAGACGCCGCAACTGCGCTCCTGAAGTGTTTTTTTGGACTTCCTGGTCCTGTTCCCTCGCCAGGTGCCAAGATTTATTATGGTAATTGGGCCCTAAAACCCTATTATTTGCATCCTAGGACCCTTAGGGATTAGGAGGAACTTAGCAATGCACCCCTGGGAAGGAACTACCTTATAACCTGTTGGCATTACCTTGCCAACTAGCCCTACACCCTAGACCCTAAACCGAAAACCCTCAAGTCTAGACCCTGAACCCTAAACAGCAAACCCCCCCCGAAACCGCAGGCATCGCTCAACCCTGGAACTTTTACATCTCCTAGGGCCTGAAATTGTCATACCCCAAGGCCTTAAAGCAAAATACCGTCCCTGCCCCTACGTGCTCTTTTTCAAAAAGCTTCCATAAGCCTCCCATTCAAATTCCTTCCTAACTTTTAATTCAATTCTTTGCTCAGCGAGACCCTCCACATATTGGGGAAAGTCTTTCTCAAGCAAAAGTAAGGGAAGGGGTCCTGATACACTGTTACATGCTTACACCTGTAATTCCAGGCTATGCCCAGAAGGACTCTTCGGTCAGAGCATAAGGAGTGGCTCGAAAATGGAGATCTCTCTGAGTATGCCCCAGCATACTAGACTCCTGTTTTAAGGACACTCAGAAATCTTGAGCAAGGACACCTGAATTTCTGAAAGCCCTCAAATCCCCACCTAGGGGCGCCCTAGTTCTTGGAATTTCCCCCCCTGCGCAATTGTTTCGGCCAAAGCCACGTGGCTGTGCGTGAGCGCTTGGCAGCGCTTGGAACATCTTCAGCCTTCTCTGCCTGCTTCGTGCAGGGTTCAGGGAAGCCTAAACTCCAGGTTCTGCAGCTACCTACTCTGTGCTACTTGGAGCCCCAGGGTTGGGATATGGTGGCTCTGATGAGGATTTGGTGACTATCGCTTGTTCTTGAATGCTTCCCGGCAACATCTGGAGGAGGAGAGCCTGGATGAACTAGATTGTGAAACCATAATATCCTGAACTCTGAACTCATACACTGCTCGGAACGCTCGTTCCCAAACAGCTATGGCAAGCTGCAAAAGGTTGCAATCTTGGTTTCTTCGAGGATTATGAGGTCTAGGGACTGGAGCGTAGAGGTTTAGGGTTTAGGGGTTTAGGGTCCAGGGGTTAACCCTTACCCTGAACCCACGTAAATCAAGCTTGTTATGTGGGTTTTCCATATTTCGGGCTACCCTTTGAAAGCTCAGTCCCGTCCAGCAGCTTCGTTCGGAACAGGGTGCAACCTCTGCTGGTCTTTAGACATTTGGAAGCCCAGGCCCTGCATAGGTAGGCACTCACCTCTCATTGTACTTCGCGTATCTGGTCTGACCACATCGCGGCACACGCTCCAAAAGATCTCGAGGGAAGGGCGCCCCTTTTCGGGGTGTAGTAAAGCACCCTCCTCAAAGTCTTATATGCAATCACCGTATCCAGTATGTTAAATGTCAAAAAAAAAGCAGACCCTAAACCACTAAACCCCTAAAGCACACTCCACGCCTGGTCCATGCAAATGTCGCCGGGCATTTTGGAGGCCGAGATTCCATGGGGTCTAGCGGAGCCCTAAATCTTTGCCCTACTCTGTGGGAATTTAGAGTTTTGGGCTTAGGGTTTATAGGGTTTAGGGTTAGGGAATTAGGGTTTAGAAATTTTCGTTTAGAGGCCCTGCGGTTACCAATGGGTTACGCGACCTACTTACAAAGGATTGCAGGGGAGTTTTCCTGGGCTTATTAGCGGCTTCAGAATACCGAAACCCCAAAAGCACGCAACGTGATAGCCCTAAACCCCTAAAAGCAGCCAAGAAGGCCATTATTCTACATACTTTACCTGGATCCTCCAAAGTAGTTCCTTTTTGGGTTTGGTATGGTTTTTTGGTTAGGACTCTTATTAGGACTACCAAAAAAGTACGTACTACATTGGAGGGTCTAGGTAGGATTCAGGGATTAGGGAAACCCTAAACCCTAAACCCTTAAACCCTAAACCCTAAACCCCTTTAGGGGCCCAGGTATGGCCTAAGTGCAGGATCCCTCAAAGTAGAGTTCCGGGAGGGCCTTCGGTTCAGATTTCAGAGGGTTTAAGGCTGAGAGTGCTTTTTTCAAGATTTAGGGTTTCTAGTGTAGCAGGGTTGAGAGTCAAGGGTTTAAGGTTTCTATTGTAGAAGGGTTTAGGGTAGAGGGGCTTCTATTGTAGCACGGTTGAGAGTGTGGGAAAGGGTGAGGGCTTGGTGGTTGGTGGAGGAACTCTGTCATAAGACCAAATCTCATCATATCGGGACTTGAGGTGCCTGGGCTTACCTGTGCAGGATTTCAGAGCTAGGGTTCCCGAGATGCGAGGTGCTTGAAG